GTGCATTGGCGATGGCAACGATGGGCATCCCAGAGTAGGGGTCAAACGCCTCGGGCTCATGCTGCCGATCGGAAGCGGATTCGGACCATGCGCGAGGTTGCAGCGTAGGGACGGGAGAAGCGGGCGACGATATACCGAGCGGCCATCTGTATGGAATGCTCGCCTTGAGAGTGCGTGCGAGTTGCTTCCTCAAGTTGATCGCCGGGTGCCAGGGCGAGCGGCCCATCTTCTCGTAGATGGCCAGCGGAGTCGTCTTGTGCACGTTCTGAACGTGCCGTGTATGGCAAGAGGACGTCAAGCTCGTCCAGCCGCAGCCTTCGATAAGGCAGTCGAACTTGACTAAGCCGGTGCTAGGGTGCAACCGTTAGAAACGGCACCAGGGATAATGGAACGTGGCTCACTGTAAATTGACGTGCTCCTTGAGAGCGCTCTGGTGGATGGTAACAAATTCACAGCCAGGCCAAAGGCAGAGGCACATGCTGTAAGGCGCCGTGTCAGATGTTGCGTCAAGTGACCGCTGTAACAGATACGTACAATGGTTTTTTGGCGTCATCCTTGAGGTGTGTTTTCTGGTGCCGTATGCACGCGGATTTGACAGCAAATCCGCAACGGCAGTACAAGCATCTGAACGGTAGGATTGGCGGTAGCGGATTCTACGGAGGGATCAATACAGGGGGCCGACGTCGAGGCCGCGAACGCCACATACTACTCTTTTCCGTCCGGGCTTCAAGCGCTGCTTGCCAGAACGAGAGGTTTTAACCATGACAACCCTGGCAGGGCGGCGTAGAACTGTGAATAGGAGGCGAGGGGACTATGGGGGTGGTCGACCTGGCTTTGACGATTTATGTAGGCAATCGAGCGGACCAAGCTGTACAGGACCCTGAGTTCCCCCTCGTGCTTATTTCGTCGATTCGTCAGTCGACAGCTTGTATCGATGGAGAGAGTTCTCATCGGCTCTGTACCAGAGGTCCTGAAAGGGGGCTAGCAGGGCAGACAGCATCTCCGAATATCAGCGTGCGCAAAAATCGGTTGGAAAAGGGAACGCTCGACGAAGCCTGTCGGGCGAACCTATTCCATCGAGAGTTCTCGTGCACCTGCAGAACGGACGGCAGACATGACCACGCGGCATCGCTCGCCTCGCCTTTCGACTGCGGCGGAGTCAGAGCCACGTCCGATGCAACCCCATATCCCCCCTGTTCCGAACAGCTCACGCTGATCAGAAGTTCTTGAAATTCCCCGACGTCGTCGGTGTGAAATGCCCAGATGCGAACGTCTGATAAAGTTCGTGGGGCATTATCTGAAACGCTTCGCAAGAAGAAGACGTGAAATACAACAGGACGCGGATGCGATGCGACCACGGCGCTTATACTCCGCGAAATGCTGGCGAACCTGGCGTACTATAATGATGACGGAGTGGCAGGAAATGACAGTAGGTTGAGGTAACGGTGTATCGTCGTGGCGGAGTGCGAGTCGTCGATACCGAGAAGTCCACTATGACCGCATAAATTAGCGGGTCTGACTCGTCGCGCGAGTGCGAAGTACCACCTTAGCCAGAACCTCACCCACGGCATAGGACCCCGCAAGCTCCGGGAGCACTATAGGTCCTCGTGTGAGCACGATCGTCGAGAGCGGCCGATGGGACAAAGATATCCTAAAAAGTACAGCATCAACCACGAGGAAACGACGTAGTGATCGATTGTGGATTGAGGTAAACCTCGCCTCGCTTGCCGCAGTGCTTCTTCGACCCCGCCCAGATCAGCCGGCGCGTCCGCCGAAATAACAACGACCAGGTACGACCGGCATTGAGCGAGCGCCGGAAACCCTCCCCAGCGAGCCGGCATGTTCACCTCTCGCGTAGGCTTGTCTATGGTGGACTTCATGGTTTGGCTCTCCACGAGCGGCGCCAGCGGCCTTTGGGTGAAGCACGACGAGGGCCACAGTTTTAGCCCGTTGATCTGTGACCGCCACAGAAACCGACCGTCAGACAAAACGATACAAGCCACTCAATACATACCCACCATGTTCCAAGTGCTGGGCGCAATGCACGGCCCGTTTCACGACGACCCGACTCGCGACCGTGTTACTGCGTCTGTGATCCAATGAAACCTGAGAGGTTGGCAAACACGATGAATCTTCAGGCCACCAAAGGAACGTTCGTATGAGCACCAGCGACCTGCGTGTAGCGAGACCACTGACCTCACGAGACCTGTAGGCCGAAGCAGACGACGACGACAACATACCCCATCTCGTGCGACGTCGTCGTCTTCCGCCGATAAGGCCGTGGCTCGGCACTGAACCAGTTTGACTTCCGGTCGTACCACGAAGTGGCTTGATTCGGTGGTCGTTGACGTGAGTTTCTCTTCTACGATGATCAGACGAATGGGTCGCTCATATTCCCTGTGGACGAAGAGTGCGATCCGAGACAGGTGCGCAAGGATCGTCTGGACGACAGCGCCAACACTCAGCATACGGTCGCTCGACACTGCAACGCACGAGCTCATGGTCGCTGAATCCCAAAACAGCGTGGTTAGTACGCTCCAGAGGCCGAAGCATGGCGACGTACCTTCTTCGCGAGCTGATGTCTTGTAGATGCAGTGGTATGAGGTCCACGACAGCGAACTCTGCGATGGCTTCCTTGCACGGTGGATTGGCATTTTCGACCACAGGTTTATCAGACGTCATGAAGAGCATCTCTCGTTCAATACTTCGTGATATAGGCCGAGCACAAGGTCGATGTGTTGGATCACCGATACTTGCGGCGTAGCTGCATACTTCGAGTGACGCGTGGCAACTAGGAACGCCGGCAGCCGGAGGTCATCGAACGTGCGCCAAAGACTGGTATGACCGACGTACTCAACATTCCCTCGTCTTCACTAATCGCCCCTCTCTCAGACCGTTCACTATTTGCCGATCGTTGATACGCGATGCTCTCCAAGTAGACCCCGCCATATCTGGCCCCTTGCGCCCCGTCGACTGTGCTGACCGGCAAGCTGCTGGCGTCATGACGCGAAGGGACATCGAGCACACGTTAATGCCTGATAGTCGGTGAATCACCATCTCACAACGACCGACCCCTTCGCCATTTGCGCGAGAGTTGTCCTTTGGAAGCGGGGACTGCGCCCGTCGATCAAGGCTCGGCATTCCGTCGTCGACGTGAGCGTTTTCAGCGGAGCTCTGGTCAAGACGACGAATGACGAGCACCAAGCGACGCTGTCCTACTGATTGATTGGGTTTCGGATATCCTGAACGCAGCTGGAGGAGTCGCAAAGCCGCAAAGCCCTCCGCTGCAGGCCGGCGCCAATTCTCCCCCATGTGGTCACCTGACCGAACGGTGTCGAGTTGTGAGTTTTGAGCGCCTTTCTTCCTTCCGTTCCGTGAGCAAATCGCATCCGTCGTATGGTGCACATCATCGACATCTATGCTTTCTTAGGATATCCCGACGACGGCGTCAAACTCGGACAAAATGGCACCATCATAACAACGGCCTTTCTCGGTCTGGTCACACTTGTCATCGAGTTAATCGTCCTGCGTCAAACTATCTATATGCACGGCGTTATTGCTGCCCCCTAGTCCGCAGTATGCTTGCACCCACGCGCGCGGACGCATCGGATGGACTTGCGTTGAGATGCTTTTCCATCACTAGTTCGTCGGGCTTCCATACTGTGTACGTCTGCGCTTAACGGTTGACCGAAGACACCGTTTCCTTTAGCTATCTGTCGTATAGCAGAATCCGTCTAAGTACTCGCGCTTGTTCTACACTCATGGAATTACATCGCAGACGCCCTCCCTTCTGCATGACCATCGCTTCCCACTCTGTCCACCTTGAGGCATCATAGCGTGTACCTACCCAAAATCTCGTCAAGAATAGCGCAAAGTCGCTGAGTATCGGTACCTTGGCTCTCGGATCGGGATGGCTCAAGCGTGCCCAGTCGCTCCAAGATAACTTGGATACCTCGATTCCGAAGCAGGTACGTCAACGGCTGAACGACATTATTTGTTTTACTTTGCGCGCATAGGCAGAGACAGCGGCAACGGTTTTTGATAGCAGCGCAACTACCAGAGCGACGGGAGATACAGTAGGTAGGAGGGGAGGAAATTACGACGGATCCCGACGCTCACGACCCATTACAGAGACGCGAGATAACAATGCAAGCACGGAGACGAGAGAAGGTCATGACGCGTCGTGTACGGCGTCCAAGATCTTTTTGCCTTGGTTGGTTCGCTGATGCCGAATCGAGGCAGAGCGTCGTCTTTCTCGATGCCTCACGGTCACGAGTCGGTGGACATCCGGTAGTGCGACACGCCTTGGTGTTGCCCGTAATAGGGTGCCTCCTGGCGCGCGTACGAATGGCTCCATGGGAAAAAGCAGGAGACGTTATCCCGGCGGCCTGCTAGGTTGAAATCCACCGCGTTGAAGGGGATCGGATTCGCCTGAGGTCGAGGAGGAGGCGGGCACCACGACGTGGGGTCCATGATCGACGAGCAGGGAGGAAGCACGACCTGCTCGGCAGCCCTCGGGGAGGGGGAGCAAGTGCTGGACGGCACGTCGTCGCGGGACTGTGCGGGCGCGGCCGCACGGATCTCCTCGTCGGACCATGTGCAGGGACGAAGGGTCGGAACCAGGTACCGAGGACGAGGCTCGACGTCGTGGAAGGTCACCGTGGCCGATGGCGATCTCGGAGCCTTCACCGGGCAATCTTTAACCTCCTCAAGTCGCTCGTCGGAGGGCTTGCGCGGGAGTGGCCAAGGAATCTCGTCGATTTCACCCCTCTGGATCTTGTCGTAGATCGGATGGGACCTCCGACCGATGGACCGGTACAAGGCCGTCGGCCTGACTTTGTGCTTGTTCTTGCAGTGCCGCGTGTACGTCGACGGCATGTTGCCGTCGAAGTCGCACCCTGGAACCAGGCACCAATACAGGATAGGGGGCCATCCGCTAACGAGTGGATGAGTCTTCAAGTTGGAATGCATGCGGAGAAAGCATCACGTACTGGTCCGCGGTCATATGATACCGTAAGTTTGACGCTTGTAGCACCGCACGCTTGCACCCTTCGACTGGGCATTTTATCAAACTGCACCGCGCAGGAGTGTCTTGAGTGATTCGCTCGGGTCAGAGGAGAAGGGCACTCACTGAAGCGCCTTGTTGTGCACTTTCTTGTGCCGTCCCAGGTCGTTACTCCGATTGATCACCTTGTCGCATTCGGGGCACCGTACAGGCTTGCTGGAGTTCTTCTAGCGTGGCGTAAATCGTCGGATCCAACGTCGTGAAAGCACGTATGACGCACCGCCTTTTGGATCCTAGGAACTGCGGACTTTCTGCGAGAAGCAACCGTCTGGGTGCGCGAGCGTGCCATCGAGGAGGAAGAAACTGAAGGCCGAGTCGCTAAAAAACCCGTCCGGGTCTTGGCCTCTCCGTTTCATCCTGACGCTTTAAGAGAGCAACCGGCCGTGAGGCAAAGCTGTCGAAAGGTCCCGAGCCTTTCGCACGCGGTCCAGCAGAACGTTCCGACTATCGTTTGCTTCTGACGCAAGCTCGAGAGGACCCCGGTGTCGGTCGAGACGCGACGTGTTGGAGCGCAGAAACTCGGCAAACGCATCCGAAAAGGAAACGTTCCGCGCAGTCTTCCGAGATGGTCTGCACCATCAATCGGCGGCACATAGAGACCATAAGGACGGCGGAGAGTGCCTTGCGGGATACCTTGTCCAGATTAGGACGCGTTGCGTCGCGATCAGGAAGGCGGCTGGCGCCGTACATACTTCAATCTACCCCTGCTCGGTCGAAGCTTCGCGGCGGAGATCCAAGAAAAATTGCCGCTGCGGAATAGACCGCCACTTGTCACCGTATGACGGACCCTTTGACTGGCCTCGAGGTGCTTAACGCAGGCACACGAAGTGGCCTGAGGGGAGTGCTGCAATCAGGACCGCGTGAAGGTTTGATTAAAATCCTGCCACAGCGACTGCCGGTCCATGTTTTCTGCGCCGCTGAGGACCAAGGTAGAATGCCTTGTCGTGCTCCCTGAACAGCATTTCAACCCAGTTCGCGTACAACAATCAGCCTCTGTTTCGTCGCCCTGAGGAATCACCGTGAGTATCGCGTTCTTGACTCGCCGCGCTGCCGCGAAGTGCTCATCCACCGTGGCATCACCTCAGAAGTCCTTCTTAGCTCCGCTGTACGAATACAAGAGCTCTTCGTGTGTGAAAGTAGTCTCCAAAACAGCCGATTTGGGAAAGGGCAATCTCTCGAAGCTTAAGCCTAAGCAGAGCCAAATATCAGAGAACACGACATTTGATCGAACACGTCCCGAAGCTTGCTGCACCTTCACACGCCTCTGGTAGGGCACCCAGACCCGTCGGCGTTCAGATGGCCGAATACTCCAGCTGATTGCGACGTCTTCCACGCAGCATTGCGGTTTAATCCCTCGTGCATGTTACGACACGGACGTTGGAGCTCATAATATGGCAAATGTTAATTAAAGTTTATGGTTCATCATGAACTTCATGGCGTAGTGGAAATGCAACGCATACACGGCAGTAGAACGAGGAAGCGACGGGAGATATCACAGGTGAGACGGAAAGTAACTACGATGGATACCGACGCTCACGGCCGATTTCAGAGACGCGATACGATAGTGCGGAGACGGAGATTTGAAAAGTCCATGGCCCGTCGTGTATGGTGCCGAAGATGATAATAGAAACGGTGTATGGCTGATGGAACCAGGGAGCACCGAGGGAGAGCATTGCTGTTCGGGACGACAAGAGGTCAAGCGTCGGTGTGCGTCCGGTAGTGAGACGCGCCCTGGCCTGGTCCGTAGGCGGGATCCTCCTGACCCCCGTGCGCGAAAATTGACGGGAACAAACGAACAAGGATCTCGTGGAAATCGCGGCCCGCTGCCTCGCAGCTCAACTTCCTGATCGGAGCAACCGGCGCCACGGGTCCAGGAGGCGGTGGGCACCACAGCGCGGGGTCCAATATCGAGGAGCAAGGAGGCAGGACGATTTGCTCGGCCGGAGTCGTGAGATGGAAGGAGGAAGGGCCGGGTGTAGCAGCTGTCTTCGAGGGGAAGGAGGGAGCGCAGGAGGGAGCAGCCGTCTTCGTAACGTCCATCGGCCTAACCGCCGTCGGATATATATAGACTTTGCTCTCTCGGCTGTTTCACGAAGGGTTAGATACGGGAATACCGAATGCTATTGATCCCTTACTGAGCGATAGCGATGTGCGCTTCGACGAATTCAATCGTCCCTTCGAACCCGCACTTTGAGCAGAACACCATCCTGAGCGGACGCGCACGAGAAATCAGCAAACAACAACACCCGCTGAGTTGGCCCGTGCTCACGTATATGCGCAAACGTTGAGTGAGTAGCTCGCGGTGGGACGTTGCGCGCACTCGGTCGCTTGCCTATGAAACTTCCTATATCAGCGGCGAGTCGTTCAGGTCCCGAGCTTCTGTGAAGTACCAGTTCGAACTGCGTCCAGGCGAACGAGACGTGCGAGGGTCTGGAAATATTACGGGTGAAGGAACTGTCGTTACAACATGTTCTGAAGGCTTCGACGAACTAACACGGGACATTCGGCCAGGAGGCGTCGGCGATAGGAGAGCGTGTCGAGGCTTCCGATTCGTTGGTCGCTAACGAATGGCTCTTTCGACGTGGGATACACATGAGCGGCTACTTCCGGGAATCGGAGTCGCCCTCCACGGCGAGCTGGGTTAGGTAGGAATTTGGGAGCTTTATTCGAAACTGCCGTGAAATGAACAAGTATCGGACGTACTTGACCGAGACGAGACGTGCCGTTTGTTCTGAATCGTGGAGACCGACGTCGCGATGTTCCGAGGCGACTGCGTCGGAGTTCCACAGCGGCTCACCCCTTCTACCGCGTTGCCGATCGACTCTGCCCTTTTCGTACCATCGTTAGACCTGAGGCGAACAAGGAATATATTTCATACGTATCGTCCGGATTTGGCACACCGCGGTCCACTGATATTGACACCGGACGGTGGTACACATACCGGCGGGCTAGGCTACGAAGAGGTCACGGAGAATACCGTCAGGCTTCCTGACCAATCGTAACGATCTCCCCTTGACTCGTCGTGTAAGTGCAGGGAATCCCTTCGTCTCCGTATGGAGTTATATTGCACTCATGAGGCCTAGCCAAAGTCCTCCGGCTGCTCCGACGGTATAGCAATACCTCGTGTAAGGCTTATCGTCCAGGAGGGCGAAGAATCGGGGTCCTGTATGGAATGGAGCAGCGAACATCAGAAATGATACTATGATCGACCCAGAACTGGAAGCGAACTCACCACGCCCATCACAGCCCTCCCAGGTGGCACCCAGGACCTTCGCCCCATCCGCCCCATCCCAGCGACCCGGGTGTACTTCGACCCCACAGTGCATCTGCCGCCGTCGCGAAATGCCGTTATCCCTGAGCGCCCTTCCGACCCTCCGCCTCCACCTGTCGGTGTAGTCAGCAACTCAGTCTTGAAGAGATAGGCGTCACGCCACCGAGTGAAATCGTCGCTGGTGCCGGAGGTCAACCGTCTTCCCATGACCGTAAGCCACAGAATCACCAGCATGCAGCGAGCAAATGACTGAGGGATCTGTGTTAGTGCATGACACCATGGCCAGCGTCAACGCACCCCCATGCGTGTATCTCAGGCCGCCGTAGGCTGCTCTTGTCCTTAGGCGCGCTTGTCCTTAGGCGCGCTCTCTTTACCCGGGACGGCCCGTCTCGACGTAGGGCCGGTACAGCCAGAGACTGAAGCGTAAAGATACGACGGCGCCATTTAACCAAGACCAACCATTTACCCCGTTCCCCGTACGCGACTGGCCACTCCTATAAGCCGCGAAGCCGCCGACATAATGCGAGAACATAACTGATAACTCTGTGTCAGGAGCCACTTAGGACACGGTGGCCAGCGTCGACGTACCAGTAGACAAGGTGATTGAAGTAAGTCGCGAATACACTGTGTCGCTCTCCGTCGGATGTCAAAGGCACGCTAACCAGAACGTGTCGTCGTTAGGGAACCACCCACGATGTAGTAATCGCAAGGATGCAAGGATCGAGTAAAAAATCAGGTATGATTTTACATTCATAAAATCACCCCCAATTTTTTTCTCATCCCCTACCCACAGGTTACTCTTGACTGATCCTTCCAGGGTGCAAAGCTACAACATGGTGCTGTTAATGGAGGTAAGCAGAATGTTTGGTGGAGTCTAAGATACAGAAAGTGACACACAGGCAACAGAGACCTTAGGACAGTGCTGTCTTGGAGCGATGTCGGCGTCGTCGCAATGTTGTAAGCGTTCCACATGTCCCGGTTTCCTGACATCGCGTAACCAAGGTCGTTTTCGAGGAGGGTCTGCCACGCTCGATGAAACGTCCACGCCGCGTGCATCGGGTGGGCCTGGGGTCAATGAGCCTTGATCGCATTCGGTAAGAGGGAGGTGCATACGCTACGAGTTACGCTGACGGCCCTCCGACAGCACTACCAAGTCGCTTTCGATGCCCATCCGGGTCTCTTCGCGTTGACGACCTATACCAACCACGGAGGTCGTTCGGAGGCGCCGCTTCTGCAACCACATTAGAAGATACCAGCGATCGTCAGAAACGGTTACACACCAGACGTCAGTTCCGACAATATGCGTCCATGAGAACGGGGGAGTCTCATACGACACCGCGGGGAAAGCGATCCCGCCCGAGTGATCGTCAGGTTCGCGGTACGTTCTCTGGCAGTTGTGATCGGAAGCTAATCAGCTCATGTCATCCTCCAGGAGCTAAGGATACAGCTAGAGATTCGGCATACATTCGTTCAATCCCACTACGTCCAAGACGCACCACGAAACCTCGGCTTGACGTTCGGGTCCTGTACGCGAGGGTATTCGTATTCAGCGGGACACAAGACACTTGCAGGATGTGTAGGCGAAGGACGCTGGATGAACGTTGGGACCATGGTCGATGGTCGATGAGATGGATTGACGGAATGCACTCGATAACCAAGCGGCGAGCTCTCATCGTGGGCATTGACGTGTACGGCTTTCGCTGTACGATAGATCACTGTCTCTGGAGTAACCCTCTGATATGGTTGTCTGACTGTGCAGTAGCCATGCAAACTACGCCCTTACATACTAGCCTGTAAGCTTTTCCCCTGTTATTTACATGCGTGACCTTGCTTATCGCAGCCAAAGGCCTCGGGCAGTCGTCGACGAACGACAGCGGATTGACGATGACACACGACCGCTGCTCGAACAGATCGAATCCCTTGTCGAGCGAATGCGTGTCCTTCGCTCACGCCGTAACCAGCTGGCTCCGGTCACCAAACTTCCCGTCGAATCTCCTTCAGCGTTCCGGAAGCGGAGCTCAAGCCGCTCTTTCCCTCCGATTACTTTCTTCTCGCAAGTGGCGAGAAATCAATCTGTTCACGGCATCCCCCTTGGCGGCGCTTCCGCGACGAAGCCTGGATCTCAAAAAGCTATTCTGCTCAGGGCTGCGGCGCGTGCCTCTTTCATTCTATTTGCCCAGAAGCGAATGCCATCGCTATCGCCATGACGTTGACCTGAGCTATGCTCTCGAGAACCATATGGATCGCATGAAGAGACTTCACGTAGATTGCTGCGTCTCAACGCTATCGACAACGCTTTCCCCGCCTTGCGCTACCTCGAGCGCTGCGAAAACGTCATACACATCATGACTGAGTACTGAGTGTGCCTGAACGCCTGGGAGATCGTCGTGAGGCTCCTCAATCCGTCGGCGAATCCCGTTCCCCTGCGGCGACTCCCGCGCACGCTGGGACATCGAAACGAGGGTTTCTCCGCTGAGTTCGTACAAGAGTGTGAGGACATGCTCACCCAGAGATACGAAACGGCTGGGATGATGTTGGAGTTGGATCTGGACAACATCCAGGTTAATATGGATGACGAGCTTTCGGACCGAATAACGGAGGAACTTGGCCAGATTAATGTGGTCCATTGACCTGGTGGGATGGATGCGTTCGTGCCTCCATGTTACATACATTTCCTCATGGATGGCCTCACGTATTTCAACCTGGACGGTGACAAGCCCGCGTTCTCCCCGGTAACGAGCAACTTAAGGTGCCTTTGACAATGCCCTTACTACTTACGCCAGGTGCATGCTGCTATACAACAGGCCCCGGATTTCCACATTATGTGTAATCCTCTCTGCAAACTTCTAAACCACCTTCACCACCACGCCAGTCACATGGAAGGCGAGACTTTCGAGCTAGAGGTCGTCCTCATAGAAGCAACGCAGAGGCGGCAGGAGCTCGTGGGCAGGAAAACATCGCGCCCGATCTTCTTTGGCGCGGAAGGCGTGCGCGAGACGATGGATCTGACCTAAAAGCAGAACTCCAGGCCTTTGTCCACCTCGGGCCCCAGGGATGGGTGCTTGCAAAGCGCTACAAGGAGGTATTGACGCTCGTCAAGCGGACCAAGGAGGTGGGATTGACGGCGACAAAATCTGAGGCAGATTGGATGCCGGGCTGGTCCTACAATGTCACAGACGAAGATATGTGAACGAATTTACTAACAGATGGTTCAGTAGAAGACGAGTGACTAGTAAACATTCGTCGGTTCGTTTGTCTTGCAAACTGGCATTCGGTACTGTCGGAACTACGGCGCCGTAAGTTAGTTACGAATATGATCTGTCGCGACCGAAACGGCACAAGGCTCAGCCTGGCGCAGCTCGCAGTATAACGACCGACTTCCATAAATGGGTTCTAAGGGTGGGTCCCTTGAACCAACGGTGACCAAACAAATCGGTGGCACTGTCCCGCATCCCGCTTACTTTGCTCCTTTGCCTCCAACTCCTATCTTCTCTATAGCGACGCTGTCGACCTCGTCTTGCTCATCGGTGTCGTGACATTGACCTCCAAGATCGAATTGCAGCTTGAAGGAACATGTTCGCAAGTCGCCCAGAGCAGTACACGAGCTCTGGGAGCACGACAGTTGCGATGGCGTCGCAGGCCGACGTTCACGCCAACTACGGTTCTCCGTGGTCCCCGATGCGGTACTATTTGTGACATATTCTGCGATAGCTTGCTCAGTTGTTTGACTCTATTCTATAGGGTACTTGGCTCTTTGAACACAGTGTGCGAACCGTACCCGCCGGATGCTCATTTGGAGCAGGGCGCTGGTGCCACTGTAGCTTCCTCCAGCATGCTGTCAGTACCCTGGCCCCCAACCTGTAGTGCTCTACAACTGATCGATTGCCTGCTTAGACTATTAGACATGCCGTCGATCCAAGAACCCCAATGGCTCCCAAGCCTCGAGGTCGAGAAAACGGGATTTTTTCCGACGGATCCCGTATGGCTCGCATGCAACGAATTGCCGGAGGCCAGATTCAGCGATCGGCGGCGTCGCGGGTACGGCTCCAATCTCGTCGAATTGCCTATTCCTCGGATGGCATCCCCGTTTGAGGCTCCCGCAATGGTGGCTCAGCCGGACCTCTCGCCGCTTTTGATCGTGTCTTCATCACTTTCAGCTCCTGGGGCGGTTCCGACCTCGGCATGTGACATGGATGTCGATGAATCATACCACAGCTGCTCCAGCAATAGCCAGCCGGTCCAGAACGACGGTAGGATCAAGCGCAAGGCCTCGTGCGATGCAGGACAGGGAGAAGGTGCCACCTCGTCTCCCGCACGTAAGAGCCGCCGCCTATCCCGCGCGGACGCCATCCGTCACCACACATGACTCTCTTTCACGCATTACGGACATTCGAACATATTCGAACTATCACACAACACCTACATCGGCCTCGGAATAATCCCGGGTGCGTCACCCGTCAAACACCCCTAGAATAGACCACCAGATAATAGCGTAGCAATCGCCCTGTCACATCGGTTATCGTATCCTCGCGTCGTTGCATACTTCTTGTTCAGTCGTTCCTTCTTAGTATATCGTAGTAAATATTGCTCTATATGCATCTAATAATACAAGAAAGATGTGTCCATGCACCACAACTTGAGCCAGCCTCATACCATATTGCTCACGACATCTCGGGTGACCTTCTTTTCGTCGCCCACGAGCATGAAGGCAGTGGATATGCTCATATCTTTCTGTGAAGAACGTAAGGAGACTCCTCCAATAATAGGTAAACTATGTCCTTACTTCATCGTCGTCTGCCGCCGAGTCCGTGACGTCTACCGAGTGGCGCTCGTGGTCGTCATTCAAGAAAGGACCTGTGATCTGTTATACACGCCGTGAATCTGATCACCAACACCCTCAAGATCGTGCACCCACCACGTCCGAGTCCTCCTCAAGTTGTACTGTCTGACCGGTGCGTACCGCCACGACCCACGTCGACACGTCCGCAAACCGGAGTTCCCCTCCCGATGGGATCGGCGGCAAGCTCACAGAGACGTCTTCGAGCAACGCTCTCAATTGCCGGCGAGAGTTGAGCATGGCCACTATGCAAGAAAGTGAGGTCGGTCCACAACGCTGAATCGGAAGAGAGTCACGAACGCATTGTGATAACGTAGACTTTCGATAATAGGATGTGAAATAACGTCCACTCCATGCCCACATGACGCCAAAGAAAGCTACGGAGTGATGACATGACATTGCTCAGCCAACGTGTTCAATGAAGAGGCATACGAGACGTACAGGATCAACGTCACCAGTTGGCACGCAGTCACTAGATAACCGCGGACAAGAAGGTAAAAGCCAAGCTTCTTGAGAAAGTTATCTGTGCTGTCTCCGGATGTATAAGACCAAAACGGATAGGCTGGTCGTCACAAATCACTCACCCAAGGCCCGTCTTGAAGCTCTGTAGGACAGAACAGAAGGAAATTGTGGCGAGCACGTCAGAGAGAAGCAACGCGATGCTGCAGAACAAGGTATAAAACTGAACGTCAAACGTCAAACATCTTCATTCTCGGCGCAAACTGGCGTGGAACAACGTACACAAAACGATCCACTATTCAAATGAGGTATGTCAGGGGCGATCACGGAGGCGGCGATCATGAGCCAGCTCAGCACTGTCGATGACGTTCAGTATGCTCCTCATAACGTCGACAATCTTGTGCTCACCGAATCCCGCGCACGTGAAAAATCCAGCGACGACTCGCAGCGGTCGTAACCTGGAGGTCATTCGTTGCGACACTGTATGACCAAGAGCTCGGCGATGGCGCCGGCATGAACATCACGTAGTTGGACTTACGGACGTAAAGCTGGTGAACGAAGTAGATCTGGACCATGAATATGACGCTGCTCGATAGGGAGGTCTCGATGGGGAAGGCTCTGTTGATGATCGCCGTCAATTCGTCGGTTCAGTCGGCTGGCACCACTGCGCAGCACCAGTCAGCCAGATTGAAAACTCACACGGGAACCTTCAACAACGCAGGAATGTCTCCGTAGCTCTCGATCTATCACGGAGTTTAACGTTATCGCACCGGACAATGAAAACGGCGAGGTTACTCACAAAGTTTATGAACGCGAAAGGCACTGATACAATCGCTGCGGTGTCGAAAAGCTGCGGCGGGATTTAGACTCGTTTCTCCACGCGAACTGAGAAACGCACTACGGTAACCAGGACGAAGACACGTAAGGACAGTCGGTCATTGTTGTTGTGAACATACGTCCATGTCTGCATGATCGAAATGCCACAGAGTACGGCACCGAAGAAGATGCCTGAAGCAAGCTTGAGCTGCTGATTGAGCAGACGGTGAGAAACACTCACCCCAAAGCGCCCACCTGAAAGACGTCCATCATGAATTGCGTGAAGGAAGTAACGGACAGTACGCACTCATACGAGTCAACGATGTGCTGTGCGCGTCGTCAGCTTCGAACCATGCCGTCAAGGGGTAGAGAAACTCACATCCTCAAAATATACATCAGGAATGAGTGTAACTGTCATGAGCGGGAAAGGGGATCCGTGCGCCGGTTGCGTCCTAGTGCTTATGTAGCCCCTGCGAGACGCGTAGCCAGCTTCGAGAGGGTTGTGACCGATGATAATGTCATATTCGGAGCGTTAACCGAGGAATCCCTCCGAGAGTTCTTTTCCCACCTGAAGGCAAACGAAGTAGGGTGTGTACTCCGGGTTCTCGGTTTCAGGCTGTCCCCAGGCCTGTGTGGGGAAACCTGAAGGCAAACGAAGTCGCCGCTCGCCGCTCCCGTTGCGGTCGTTTTCCCCGCTATGCACCATTTGGCTGGGCTAGACGGCTCCCTTTGCGCATGACCCTCCTTGGGCTCGCTCTGCAAGCGAGAGCCACATGTCATCGGAAGGGCGCACGAGCATAGGTGGAGCAGGGCGAAACTCGAAGACCAAGTCGCGGAGCGCATTTACGTGGAGAATCAGAAGCTCGGATCCGAAGAGTGGCAGGGGTTCGCTGAGTGCAAGCATTTCTGTTGCTGAATAACGTCGTCCTCAAATCTCTGTCCGAGGTCTGACAGGAGATGGCCAGTATTCCATCAGATATTCGTTACGTGCGCGTTACAGAGAAATTGCTCTTGCGAGTGCAACGCGGTCGAAGGCAAAGAGACGCCACAGTCCCGGCGTTCGCCGAACGTCCCCTCGCCAGTCTCCTCGACCATCGACTTCGAGGGTACTGTACAGTGTACTTTGCGGCCTTCTGCTTTGACCAGCTTCATTATCTTCTGGTATTATTCTATGCCCTGGAGCCTGTTCTTGAGATAGAGCGAACCATGCTACCAATAAGCCTCTGAACTTTCGGGCATCAGTTAATTCTCGACAACGAATGTTTATGTTGAGTACGTATCCTCTGTCCCTGGCCTTTACGGTCCTTTTGAATCTCGCAGTGCTGATAGATGCTCGGTACCATGTGTCATTGAGTACCAGGAGGTTATCGGACATTTCACGCGATGGACATCGGTACGAATGCCCAACTCTATTCACCGTGTCGTCTATGATGACGTCAGCATCTCAGCACAACAGATCCGGCCAGGGAAACCGAATTGGAATACGTTCGCAACTTGCATGTCTACCACCACAGACGGATATGGCACCGGAAGAGTTGTCGTCGACTCGCTACATCGCCCACGATAACGAACCGCCCTCGGATCTTGAAGCAACCCGCAAGACGATCCTCGAGGCGCTCACCGCCGCGGTTGAGCGCGTCGAAAGGCACTACGCCGGCACCCACCATACCACGGGCAGCGTGTACGTTGGCGTCGAAGGTGATGCCCCTTCTCACACCCACGAACGCGCTCGCTGATGTGTACGTTTCGCAGGGATCATCCTAATGAACCACCACATCCGTCATCTTCCCGGCGCCAAATCCGTCGACGCCCTCGCATCCTCGACGCTGGACAAGAACTCGCGCCGGCACCTCAACGCCGCGATCCTCCACAGCCGCATCGCGCCCCCGCGCACCTGCTCCCGGTCCTCCTTTCTCGAGACGAGCATCGGCACCGCCACTCTCGTCCTCCTCTACCTTCTCGGCTCGAGCTCACCCCTGCACTACCCCAAGAACTGGGAAACGTGCGTCAATGCCATCAGCGGCGCCCTCCGCCTGGCGTCCCGCGAGGAAATGAGCGAGGACGGCTGCGAGGTCCTGTACGGCCGCGCCGGGCTGCTGTACGCGCTGCTGCGGCTACGAAGCGCGCTTCCGAAGGCGACAAGGGAGCAGGTGGAGGTCGTGCGTGCGATCGAGCCGCTCGTGGCGGATACGAGTTTGACGACCCTCGTGGACGACATCGTCGAGAGAGGGGCCGCCGGCGCGAAGGAGTACGCACACGAGCTGAACGGGAACGGTCCGCCTCTGATGTGGTCATGGCATGGCAAGAGATACCTCGGCGGTGCGCATGGTGTAGGTGAGAGCGTCGAGCACATTGTTTGGAGCATGGGTTCTCATCGTGCGATCAGCCGGCATCCTCCAGATATTGCTCCAATGCCCTTCGTCGACCATCAAGCCGCATCGGGAGGCCATCGCGAAGACGTTAGAATGGCTCATCGGCATACAATGCTCCGACGGGAACTGGCCGCACAAGGCGTCGATCCATCCCGAGATCGACCCAGACGAGGACATGGTGCAGTACGCACTCCACCCCCATCTACCCTTTCCGTCCCCTCATCCACCCTTTCGCAGATGGTGCCACGGCGCCCCGGCCGTCCTCATCCTCATCTCTACCTTCCTCCGCCGCGCACGCACCTCCAAAACCCTCGGCGCGGCGCTCTCCGCCCACCCCGACCTCGAGCCGTCCATCCTGTCCGCCGCGCGGAAAGCCGCGGAGCTCGTGTACCGCCGCGGCTTCCTCCGCAAGGGCGTCGGCCTTTGTCACGGCGTCGGCGGGAGCGTGTACGCGCTCCTCGCCGCATCTCAGATTCTCGACACCGACACCATCGCTCGGGATGCGGACGAACAGCGGGATGGGGGAGGTGAGGAAGGCGGCGAGGGAGGAGAGACGCTGCGCAAGGCGGCGCACCTTGCGTTGCTCGCGGCGGACTGGGCGCCGTTGACGGAGGAAGGGGTGATGAGCACGCCCGACCGGCCGTGGAGCTTGTACGAGGGCGCGGCTGGGATGTGCTGCGCGTGGGCGGACCTACTCAGGGCGCTGGCGGGGAAGGAGGTGATTGGTATGCCTGGATACGCGGATATACAATATAGTCGGTAAAGGACATACAGGTTCAGGGATTAGGGTTTCGTCTTTTTCTGTATAATGGTATGGTATAGATACATCCTTCTTTAATCTTACGAGTCACCCTCCGATCGGCAGAAATCGTGGCTCAAGACCACCGTAAAACCCCTTGAAAGTCTCCGCCGATTCACACTTATTTGGCGTCAGCGACCGTGCCGCACTCTGCACATCGGCGCAGATCGGGGTCGCTCATCCATTTCTGCGGAGGGGAACAGGGTCAGCTCGTCCGACCGGATACGATGGCGATGGCGGACCCTACCTGGATTAAGGGCTTGAGCTGGGTGCCGAGGTCGACGCAGTGGAAGGCATCTTCGCGGATGATCGTCGGTTTGGTATGCGCTGGCGAGCGGCAGTACCATCTCAGACGATCTGCGGTGAGAGGAGTAAGTGACATCGTTCGCAGCGTAGGGTTTGTGCAATCGCAACGTACCGACTGCGTCTTCGGGTCGGACGCGCTCGATCACGATCCCCACAGTATCAGCGAATCGGACCGGATTATGAGGGGTGTTGGCTACACGGATAGCGTCAACCACCAGTAACGGCTGTGCCGCGGTCGGGGTATGGAACAAGAATAGCGGGATGGCTGACCTGGCAACAGGAACATCTCGCCTTCTTCGATCCGGATGTCCCGGAACTCCTCGCCGTCGACGACGCGGAGCAGCATCCCGCCCTTGTACTGGTAAAACCACTCTTCCGTCTCGTTGACGTGGTAGTCGTTCCGCTCGTTGGGCCCGCCGACGGCCATCACTACGAAGTCTTGGCCTGTTATCGTGCGACGTGCGACGTGCGTGTGGACGTAGATCGCGTGTCGTGACCGGTAGTATGGATGGCAGGATAGGAGAAACGTCCCGTTAGCGATATATAGAAGTACGGGCGTACGTTCGAAAGCTGGGCGCACCGGAGTACAAGCAGAAATTGTTGACAGGAGGTCGGAGGAGGTCAGATTTCTCCGCGAGCCATTTCGGCAGATTGATTGGCGGAGAGATGGGCATGTTTGACGAAGCAGAGTACCGGTGGTGGTCGTCGTCGTCGGACAACCCCTACAAACGAGCAGGAGCAGGATGATCAAGCTGTGAGTCCTGTGCTTATCATATCTGAAGCGGTTGCCGGAGATGCTGATGACCTCATGGTCATTGAAAAGGGCACCATAATACAAGACCACGTGGCACGTCCGAGCGTATCTTCGCAGCGACGATATGTCCCGCGATCGTTGGCATACTTGCGAGGAAGATTAATCTCTGGAGGTAAATCGCGGCTTGAGTTCCGCTATGGGGATGCAGCAGGAAAAAAGTAGCATAAATTGTTTCGACGGGTAGCTTGTCCGGCGACCGAGGTCAACTGGTTGCTGACGCGCACTCGCTCAACAAGGGAACCAAACTGTTCGGGTAGCGGTCGTATTTCATCGTCAATCCGCTTGTACTTCGTCGACGACCGCCCAAAGCGTGTGGCCATCGCTTGGGCAGCCGAATGCTCACTCGTCTTGCCCTGAATCATCTAGCTTCAAACACATATAATTCTCTTCGTCTATGTCATTGTAGGGCCAGTGAGTCATGATTTCCACCCGGTCTGCCTCAGCCGACGCCGATGCCAATCCCTTCTCCTTGGTCTGCTTGACGAGCGCCTATGCCTCCTCGCAGCGGTCGGTTGGCACCCATCCTTGGTGCCCGAGGCAGAGGAAGTCCTCGAGTTGCTGCAGAAGTTCTGTCTGCTTCATTCTGCTGTTCGTCCAGCTCCATCGCCCCGCGCACGTCCTCCGCGTTGAAGGTAATCGGGCACGAGGCTTCACCGCTCGTGAGCGTCTTCCAACTCTCCATTGCCTCTATGAGGGCGACCTTGAGCTCGAGTCTCGCCTTCCCACGTGTCGCCGGCGTGGTAGTGAAGGCGGCTGCGGAGCACGCACAGGGCGTCCATCATAGCCTCGAAATGGGGCTCGTTGTACTGCATCGTGCACCCGACCTAGTGATAATGCCTCAAGCGCGCTCGGTGAACTTGACCCGCCGCCGTTTTCTCGGGGTTCTCCCAACTCCCCGAGAACTTCGGGGAGCGAGGGCAGCGTCAGCGCGTCCGAGACGGGGCCACCGTAGTTCTGGAACCCGTTGGGTATGCCAGCGAGGACGAACATTGGTAGGACCGAGGCATGTTGCCAGTCGAGCAAGCTAACGACTTGACATTGACCAGAGTCAGCCGACCTTCGAACGATTATATTGCTCGGTTGGAGGTCCGGATGGCGGATGCAAAATCGATGAAAGGCGGGATCCTTTGAGACGAGTGATGGTGCGATGAGGAGGTAACGCCGCAGGTTCTCGATATGAAGCGAGGGGGATTGCTCCTTGAACTGATAGGCGGTCCTCCTCATATGCCGAAGCGGCAGAAGCGGTCTACCGAACATCTCGAGGTAAGGCAGCTCCTTGCGGGCTACTGCTACGAGCGCTGCTTCCGCGAAAGTTATCGGTCAATTGAGGATGTCGTCCAGAGAAAATGGCAGAAGAAAGACGTACATGGTCCTCGATCTACGTCAAGCTCCGGCGCAGTCACCCCTCGAAGCCACGCCTCGCGTCATGCCCTTAACGTATTCAATGAAGATGTACTCGGTGCGCGCTTCGTCGTCTGGCGAGGGCGAGTATCCGTACACCTCCGGAACCGGCAGCCCGTGAGATCGCAGAAGATTCCATCGTGGCCACTTCGCTTGCAACGGCGTAGTACTTGGGCACAGTGAGCGGGTAAGGAATGCGCGCAACCATCTGGAAGTCGATTGTCGCGCATGGTGACGAGGAAGGCACGGTTGAATCCATCCTCGGCGAGCTTTGTCAAGCTGACAACGTTCGCAGGGGTTCGGCCGACTGACAGCGCGGCGAGTGAACGTAGACCCTTCACGTCAAAAACGACCCTCCGCTCCGCGAGTCGAAGTCCTTCATTATAACTGGGAAAATCCGGAAAGATGCATTAGATCGACTAGGAACAGAATACCGCGTCAACGCACGAGACTTACACCGAGCGTCCAGTTGTGTGTTCGAAGAGGTCATTGCAAGTATTTCGCCACAACGGAAAAGGTTCGACGTGGCACGAAAGGCCTTGAGACTTCGACCATGGGGAAAGAGCATAACAAGGGCCGTGAGCTTGGAAGGGGTTTGAGTAAGTTGAACGTGACCATCGCGCTCCCGATGCGGGGCATGAAGGAGAAGTAGAACGAGATCGGGTAAGCAGGCCCGGATTCGGCTTGCGATCTACTTGCCTCTCCTGGGATGGCGCAGAGGTGGCCGTATGAGCCCGGCTATGAGCAGACCACTGTAGAGTCGTGGTCCTTCGCTATTGTAACGTTCATGGTGTTCGAGCGAGTCGGTGAAGGTCCGACGACACAGCCCCAACAGAGGGTTACTCGGAAAAGCCCGCAGACCGTGATCATTCAATCGTACAGCGGAAGCCGTACACGTCCATGCGCAAGCTCGCCGCTTGGTTATCGAGCGGATTCCGTCGATCATCTCATCTCTCATCGACTCCGGTCCCAACGTTCATCCAGCGTTCTTTGTCCATACATCCTGCGAGTGTCTCGTGCCTCACCGGATATGAACACCCTCGCGTACAGGACCCGAGTCGGGTCCTGCACGAGAGGATGTTCAAACGTTAAGCCGAGGTCTCGTGGTGCGTCTTGGCCGAAGTTGGATTGCACGAATGTACGTGGCGAATGCTGAAATCCGAATCCCTAGCTGTATCCTTAGCTCCTGGAGGATGTCATGAGTCGATTATACTCCGATCACAACTGCCAGCGAACGTACCGCAAACCGGACGATCACACAGGCGGGATCGCTTTCTCCGCGATGTCGGATGAGAGTGGGGGAAGGCGCGGATGCATATTGTCGGAACTGACGTCTGGTGTGTAATCGTTTCTGACGATCGCTGGTATCTTCTAATGTGGTCGCAGAAGCGACGCCTCCGAACGACCTCCGTGGTCGGTATAGGTCGTCAACGCGAAGAGACCCGGATGGGCACCGAAAGCGACTTGATAGTGCTGTCGGAGGGCCGTCAGCGTACTCGTAACGTATGCACGCGTTCCTCACGGAGTGCAACGATGTAGTGTCTTGACGATGGATCTGATACCTTGCGTGCAAAGCAACCTCTGGCGAACCTAGACGATATACGCAGGGCTCAATTAACGGGACGCGAACATCGTCGAAAACTCACCTACGCGTACGTGAAAGCGGCTGCTGCTGGTTGCGCGGGCTGCTTCCAACATTGCGACGACGCCGACATCGCTCCAAGACAGCACTGTCCTAAGGTCTCTGTTGCCTGTGTGCGTCACTTTCTGTATCTTAGACCCCACCAAACATTTTGCTCACCTCTATTAACAGCATCATGTTGTAGCTTTGCACCCTGGAAGGATCAGTCAAGAGCAACCTGTGGGTACTGGATGAGAAAAAAAACTGGTTTGATTTCACGGATGTGAAATCGTACCAATTTTTTTACTCGATCCTTACATCCTTGCGATTACTACATCGTGGGTGGTTCCCTAACGACGACACGTTCTGGTTAGCGTGCCTTTGACATCCGACGGAGAGCGACACAGTGTATTCGCGACTTACGATATGTACTGGTACGTCGACGCTGGCCACCGTGTCCTAAGTGGCTCCTGACACAGAGTTATCAGTTATGTTCTGGCATTATGTCGGCGGCTCCGCGGCTTATAGGAGTGGCCAGTGGCGTATGGGGAACGGGGTAAATGGTTGGTCTTGGTTGAATGGCGCCGTCGTATCTTTACGCTTCAGTCTCTGGCTGTACCGGCCCTACGTCGAGACGGGCCGTCCCGGGTAAGCAGCCTACGGCGGCCTGAGATACACGCATTGGGGTGCGTTGACGCTGGCCATGGCGTCCTGCACTAACACAGATCCCTCAGTCATTTGCTAGCTGCATGCTGGTGATTCTGTGGCTTACGGTCATGGGAAGACGGTTGACCTCCGGCACCAGCGACGATTTCACTCGGTGGCGTGACGCCTATCTCTTCAAGACTGAGTCGCTGACTACACCGACAGGTGGAGGCGGAGGGGAGGAAGGGCGCTCAGGGATAAGGGCATTTCGCGACGGTGGCAGATGCACCGGGGGGCTCGAAGTACACCCGGGTCGCTGGGATGGGGCGGATGGGGCGAAGGGTCTGGGTGCCGCCTTGGAGGGCTGTGGTGGGCGTGGTGGGTTCGCTTCCGGTTCCGGGTCGATTATAATATCGTTTCTGATCTTCGATGCTCCATTCCATACAGGACCCCGATTCCTCGCCCTCCTGGACGATAAGCCGTACACGAGGTATTGCTATACCGTCGGAGCAGCCGGAGGACTTTGGCTAGGCCCCATGAGTGCAATATAACTCCATACGGAGACGAAGGGATTCCCTGCGGTTACACGACGAGTCAAGGGGAGATCGTTACGATTGGTCAGGAACCCTGACGGTATTCTCCGTGACCTCTTCGTAGCCTAGCCCGTCGGTATGTGTACCACCGTCCGGTGTCAATATCAGTGGACCGCGGTGTGCCAAATCCGGACGATACGTATGAAATATATTCCTTGTTCGCCTCAGGTCTAACGATGGTACGAAAAGGGCAGAGTCGATCGGCAACGCGGTAGAAGGGGTGAGCTGTGGAACTCCGACGCAGTCGCCTCGGAACATCGCGACGTCGGTCTCCACGATTCAGAACAAACGGCACGTCTCGTCTCGGTCAAGTACGTCCGATACTTGTTCATTTCACGGCAGATTCGAATAAAGCTCCCAAATTCCTACCTAACCCAGCTCGCCGTGGAGGGCGACTCCGATTCCGGGAAATAGCCGCTCATGTGTATTCCACGTCGAAAGAGCCATTCGTTAGCGATCAACGAATCGGAAGCCTCGACAGGCTCTCCTATCGCCGACGCCTCCTGGCCAAATGTCCCATGTTAGTTCGTCGAAGCCTTCAGAACGTGTTGTAACGACAGTTCCTTCACCCGTAATATTTCCAGACTCTCGCACGTCTCGTTCGCCTGGACGCAGTTCGAACTGGTACTTCACAGAAGCTCGGGACCTGAACGACTCGCCGCTGATATAAGAAGTTTCATAGGGAAGCGATCGAGTGCGCGCAACGTCCCGTCGCGAGTTACTCACTCAACGTTTGCGCATATACGTGAGCACGGGCCAACTCAGCGGGTGTTGTTATTCGCTGATTTCTCGTGCGCGTCCGCTTAGGATGGTGTTCTGCTCAAAGTGCGAGTTCGAAGGGACGATTGAATTCGTCGAAGCGCACATCGCTATCGCTCAGTAAGGGATCAATAGCATTCGGTATTCCCGTATCTAACCCTTGGTGAAACAGCCGAGAGAGCAAAGCCTATATACATCCGATGGCGGTTAGGCCGATGGACGTTACGAAGACGGCTGCTCCCTCCTGCGCTCCCTCCTTCCCCTCGAAGACAGCTCCTACCCCCGGCCCTTCCTCCTTCCATCTCACGACTCCGGCCGAGCAAATCGTCCTGCCTCCTTGCTCTTCGATATTTGACCCCGCGCTGTGGTGCCCACCGCCTCCTGGACCCGTGGCGCCGGTTGCTCCGATCAGGAAGTTGAGCTGCGACGCAGCGAGCCGCGAGTTCCGCGAGATCCTTGTTCGTTTGTTCCCGTCAATTTTCGCGCACGGGGGTCAGGAGGATCCCGCCTACGGACCAGGCCAGAACGCGTCTCACTACCGGACGCACACCGGCGCTTGACCTCTTGTCGTCCCGAACAGCAATGCTCTCCCTCGATGCTCCCTGGTGCCATCAGCCATCCACTCGTTCTATTATCATCTTCGGCACCATACACGACGCGCCATGGACTTTTCAGATCTCCGTCTCCGCACTATCGTGTCGCGTCTCTGGAATACACCGTGAGCGTCGGTATTCATCGTAGTTACTTCCCGTCTCACCTGTGATATCTCCCGTCGCTTCCTCGTTCTACTGCCGTGTATGCGTTGTATTTTCCGTATGCCGTGCCGTATCGTGATGAACGGGAATTATATTGAATAACGAGCTTCAACGCTCGTGTCTACTACGGTGTCGTGACCTGCACAAGGGATGATGTCGCAATAGGCTGGATGCGCTTGCACTCGACCATCTGAGCGCCGGCCGATGTCTTCGCCGGGTCTGGGTGCCCTACCAGAGGCGTGTGAAGGTGCAGCAAGCTTCGGGACGTGTTCGATCAAATGTCGTGTTCTCTGATATTTGGCTCTGCTTAGGCTTAAGCTTCGAGAGATTGCCCTTTCCCAAATCGGCTGTTTTAGAGACTACTTTCACACACGCAGAGCTCTTGTATTCGTACAGCGGAGCTAAGAAGGACTTCTGAGGTGATGCCACGTTGGATGAGCGCTTCGCGGCAGCGCGGCGAGTCAAGAACGCGATACTCACGGTGATTCTTCAGGGCGACGAAACCGAGGCCGATTGTTGACTTGTACGCGAAATGGGTTGAAATGCTGTTCAGGGAGCACGACAAGGCATTCGACCTTGGTCCTCGGCGGCGCGAAAAATTTGCTTCGGCAGTCGCTGTGGCAGGATTTCAAACCTTCACGCGGTCCTGATTGCAGCACCCCCCTCAGGCCACTTCGTGTGCCTGCCGTTAAGCACCTCGAGGCCAGTCAAAGGGTCCGTCATACGGTGACAAGTGGCGGTCTATTCCGCAGCGGCAATTTTTCTTGGATCTCCGCCGCGAAGCTTCGACAGAGCAGGGGTAGATTGAAGTATGTACGGCGCCAGGCGCCTTCCTGATCGCGACGCAACGCGTCCTAATCTAGACAAGGTATCCCGCAAGGCACCCTCCGCCGTCCTTATGGTCTCTATGTGCCGCCGATTGATGGTGCAGGCCATCTCGGAAGACTGCGCGGAACGTTTCCTTTTCGGATGGGTTTGCCGAGCTTCTGCGCTCCAACACTTCGCGTCTCGACCGACACCGGGGTCCTCTCGAGCTCGCGCCAGAAGCAAACGATAGTCGGAACGTTCTGCTGGACCGCGTGCGAAAGGCTCGGGTCCTTTCGACAGCTTCGCCTCACGGCCGGTTGCTCTCTTAAAGCGTCAGGATGAAACGGAGAGGCCAAGACGACGGGTTTTGGAGCGACTCGGCCTTCGGTTTCTTCCTCCTCGATGGCACGCTCGCGCACCCAGACGGCTGCTTCTCGCAGAAAGTCCGCCGTTCATAGGATCCAAAAGGCGGTGCGTCATACGTGCTTTCACGACGTTGGATCCGACGATTTACGCCACGCTAGAAGAACTCCAGAAAGCCTGTACGGTGCCCCGAATGCGACACGGTGATCAATCGGAGTAACGACCTGGGACGGCACAAGAAAGTGCATAACAAGGCGCTTCAGTGAGTGCCCTTCTCCTCTGACCCGGGTAAGATACTGAAGGAATTCCTGCACGGTGCAGTTTGATAAAATGCCCAGTCGAAGGGTGCAAGCGTGCGGTGCTACAAGCGTCAAACTTACGGTATCATATGACCGCGGACCAGTACGCGATGCTTTCTCCGCATGCATTCCAACTTGAAGACTCATCCACTCGTTAGCGGATGGCCCCCTATCCTCTATTGGTGTCTGGTTCCAGGGTGCGACTTCGACGGCAACATGCCGTCGACGTACACGCGGCGTTGCAAGAAAAAGCACAAAGTCAGGCCGACGGCCTTGTACCGGTCCATCGGTCGGAGGTCCCATCCGATCTACGACAAGATCCAGAGGGGTGAGATCGACGAGATTCCTTGGCCACTCCCGCGCGAGCCCTCCGACGAGCGTCTTGAGGAGGTCGAAGACTGCCCTGTGAAGGCTCCAAGATCGCCATCGCCCACGGTGACCTTCGACGACGTCGAGCCTCGTCCTCGCTACCTGGTTCCGACCCTTCGTCCCTGTACATGGTCCGACGAGAAGATCCGTGCCGCCGCGCCCGCACAGTCCCGCAACGACGTGCCGTCCAGCACTTGCTCCCCCTCCCCGAGGGCTGCCGAGCAGGTCGTGCTTCCTCCCTGCTCCTCGATCATGGACCCGGCGTCGTGGTGCCCGCCTCCTCCTCGACCTCAGGCGAGTCCGATCCCCTTCAACGCGGTGGATTGCAACCTAGCAGGCCGCCGGGATAACGTCTCCTGCTTTTTCCCATGGAGCCATTCGTACGCGCGCCAGGAGGCACCCTGTTGTGGGCAGCGCCAAGGCGTGTCGCACTACCGGATGCCCACCCACCCGTGACGATCGGGCATCGAGAAAACCGACGATCTGCCTCGATGTGTCATCAGCGAGCCAACGAACGCAAAAGGATATTGGGCGCCATACACGACGCGTCATGAACTGTTATCGTCTCCGTCCTTGCATTGTTATCTCGTGCCTCTGTAATGGGTCTTGAGCGTCGGGATCCGTCGTAATATCCTCCCCTCCTATCTACTGTATCTCCCGTCGCTCTGGTAGTTGCGCTGCTCTCAAAAACCGTTGCCACTGTCTCTGTCTATGCTCGCAAAGTAAAACAAATAATGTCGTTCAGCCGTTGACGTACCTGCTTCGGAACTGAGGTATCCGAGTCATCTTGGAGCGACTGGGCGCGCTTGAGCCATCCCGATCCGAGAGCCAAGGTACCGATACTCAGCGACTGTGCGCTATTCTTGACGAGATTTTGAGTAGGTACACGCTATGATGCCTCAAGGTGGACAGAGTGGGAAGCGATGGTCATGCAGAAGGGAGGGCGTCTGCGATGTATTTCCATAAGTGTAGAACAAGCGCGAGTACTTAGACGGACTCTGCTATACGACAGATAGCCAGAGGAAACGGTGTCTTCGGTCAACCGTTAAGCGCAGACGTACACAGGATGGAAGCCCGACGAACTAGTGATGGAAAAGCATCTCAACGCAAGTCCATCCGATGCGTCCGCGCGCGTGGGTGCAAGCATACTGCAGACTAGCGGGCAGCAATAACGCCGTGCATATGGATAGTTTGATGCAGGACGATTGACTCGACGACAGTGCGACCAGACCGAGAAAGGCCTTTGTTATGACGGTGCTACGTTGTCCGAGTTTGACGCCGTCGTCGTGATATCCTAAGAAAGCATAGACGTCGATGATGTGCACCATGCGACGGATGCGACTGGCTCACAGAACGGAAGGAACAAAGGCGCTCAAAACTCACAACTCCACACCGCTCGGTCAGGTGACCACATGGGGGGAGAATTGGCGCCGGCCTGCAGCGGAGGGCTTTGCGGCTTTGCGACTCCTCCAGCTGTGTTCAGGATATCCGGAAACCAATCAATCAGTATACCAAGTTCCCTTGATGCTCGTCATCTATTGTCTTGACCAGAGCTCGGCTGACAACACTTACGTCGACGACGGAAATGCCGCGTCTTGATCGACGGGCGCAGTCCCCTCTTCCAAAGGACAACTCTCGCGCAAATGGCGAAGGGGTCGGTCGTTGTGAGATGGTGATTCACCAACTATCAGGCATTAACGTGTGCTCGATGTCCCTTCGCGTCATGACGCCAGCAGCTTGCCGGTCAGCACAGTCGACGGGGCGCAAGGGGCCAGATATGGGTGGATCTACTTGAAGAGCATCGCGTATCAGCGATCGGCAAATAGTGAACGGTCTGGGAGAGGGGCGATTAGTGAAGACGAGGGTATGTTGAGTACGTCGGTCATACCCGTCTTTGGTGCACGTCCGATGACCTCCGGCTGCCGGCGCTCCTAGTTGCCACGCGTCACTCGAAGTATGCAGCTACGCCGCAAGTATCGGTGATCCAATACATCGACCTTGTGCTCGGCCTATATCACGAAGTCTTGAACGAGAGATGCTCTTCATGACGTCTGATAAACCTGTGGTCGAAAATGCCAATCCACCGTGCAAGGAAGCCATCGCAGAGTTCGCTGTCGTGGACCTCATACCACTGCATCTACATGACATCAGCTCGCGAAGAAGGTACGTCGCCGTGCTGCGGCCTCTGGAGCTTACTAACCACGCTGTTTCGGGATTCAGCGACCATGGGCTCTTGCGTTGCAGTGTCGAGCGAGTTCATGACCATATGCTGAGTGTTGGCGCTGTCGTCCAGACGATCCTTGCGAGCCTGTCTTGGGTCGCACTTTTCGTCCACGGAGCATATGAGCGACTCATTCCTCTGATCATTGTTGAAGAGAAACTCACGTCAACGACCACCACTCCAAGCCACTTCGTGGTAAGACGGGAAGTCAAACTGGTTCAGTGGCGAGCCACGGCCTTATCGGCGGAAGACGACGTCGCACGAGATGGGGTATGTTGTCGTCGTCGTCTGCTTCGGCCTACAGGTCTCGTGAGGTCAGTGGTCTCGCTACACGCAGGTCGTTGGTGCTCATACGAACGTTCCTTTGGTGGCCTGAAGATTCATCGTGTTTGCCAACCTCTCAGGTTTCATTGGATCACAGACGCAGTAACACGGTCGCGAGTCGGGTCGTCGTGAAACGGGCCGTGCATTGCGCCCAGCACTTGGAACATGGTGGGTATGTATTGAGTGGCTTGTATCGTTTTGTCTGACGGTCGGTTTCTGTGGCGGTCACAGATCAACGGGCTAAAACTGTGGCCCTCATCGTGCTTCACCCAAAGGCCTCTCGCGCCGCTCGTGGAGGGCCAAACCATGAAGTCCACCATAGACAAGCCTACGCGAGAGGTGAACATGCCGGCTCGCTGGGGAGGGTTTCCGGCGCTCGCTCAATGCCGGTCGTACCTGGTCGTTGTTATTTCGGCGGACGCGCCGGCTGATCTGGGCGGCGTCGAAGAAGCACTGCGGCAAGCGAGGCGAGGTTTACCTCAATCCACAATCGATCACTATGTCGTTTCCTCGTGGTTGATGCTGTACTTTTTAGGATACCTTTGTCCCATCGGCCGCTCTCGACGATCGTGCTCACACGAGGACCTATAGTGCTCCCGGAGCTTGCGGGGTCCTATGCCGTGGGTGAGGTTCTGGCTAAGGTGGTACTTCGCACTCGCGCGACGAGTCAGACCCGCTAATTTATGCGGTCATAGTGGACTTCTCGGTATCGACGACTCGCACTCCGCCACGACGATACACCGTTACCTCAACCTACTGTCATTTCCTGCCGCTCCGTCATCATTATAGTACGCCAGGTTCGCCAGCATTTCGCGGAGTATAAGCGCCGTGGTCGCATCGCATCCGCGTCCTGTTGTATTTCACCTCTTCTTCTTGCGAAGCGTTTCAGATAATGCCCCACGAACTTTATCAGACGTTCGCATCTGGCCCTTTCACACCGACGACGTCGGGGAATTTCAAGAACTTCTGATCAGCGTGAGCTGTTCGGAACAGGGGGGATATGGGGTTGCATCGGACGTGGCTCTGGCTCCGCCGCAGTCGAAAGGCGAGGCGAGCGATGCCGCGTGGTCATGTCTGCCGTCCGTTCTGCAGGTGCACGAGAACTCTCGATGGAATAGGTTCGCCCGACAGGCTTCGTCGAGCGTTCCCTTTTCCAACCGATTTTTGCGCACGCTGATATTCCGAGATGCTGTTTGCCCTGCCAGCCCCCTTTCAGGACCTCTGGTACAGAGCCGATGAGAACTCTCTCCATCGATACAAGCTGTCGACTCACGAATCGACGAAATAAGCACGAGGGGGAACTCAGGGTCCTGTACAGCTTGGTCCGCTCGATTGCCTACATAAATCGTCAAAGCCAGGTCGACCACCCCCATCGTCCCCTCGCCTCCTATTCACAGTTCTACGCCGCCCTGCCACGGTTATCATGGTTAAAACCTGTCGTTCTGGCAAGCAGCGCTTGAAGCCCGGACGGAAAAGAGTAGTATGTGGCGTTCGCGGCCTCGACGTCGGCCCCCTGTATTGATCCCTCCGTAGAATCCGCTACCGCCAATCCTACCGTTCAGATGCTTGTACTGCCATTGCGGGTTTGCTGTCAAATCCGCGTACATACGGCACAAGAAAACACATCTCCAGGATGACGCCAAAAAGCCATTGTACGTATCTGTTACAGCGGTCACTTGACGCAACATCTGACACGGCGCCTTACAGCATGTGCCTCTGCCTTTGGCCTGGCTGTGAGTTTGTTACCATCCACCAGAGCGCTCTCAACGAGCACGTCAATTTACAGTGAGCCACGTTCCATTATCCCTGGTGCCGTTTCTAACGGTTGCACCCTAGCACCGGCTTAGTCAAGTTCGACTGCCTTATCGAAGGCTGCGGCTGGACGAGCTTGACGTCCTCTTGCCATACACGGCACGTTCAGAACGTGCACAAGACGACTCCGCTGGCCATCTACGAGAAGATGGGCCGCTCGCCCTGGCACCCGGCGATCGACTTGAGGAAGCAACTCGCACGCTCTCTCAAGGCGAGCATTCCATACAGATGGCCGCTCGGTGTATCGTCGCCCGCTTCTCCCGTCCCTACGCTGCAACCTCGCGCATGGTTCGAATCCGCTTCCGATCGGCAGCATGAGCCCGAGGCGTTTGACCCCTACTCTGGGATGCCCATCGATGCCATCGCATGCACCCTGGGCGCCCCCTCAGGGGGCAGCTCACACTCCTGCGCATGCTCACTTTACC